GCTAACTCAAGTTTACGAGAACACACATATATTTCTTAGTTCTGGGGATTTGATTTATAGGCGCAGTTAAGCATATTTGGACAGTCATTTTAGGCAAACGCAGCTATACGAAAATAAGTTAGAGCATTCTAGGGCTCTCGTTTGGCATCAGCAAATACGTTTTTAGGTTAATTTTGCAGGCTTATGTAGGTAAAATGGAGATATTATCCCGAGGCATTTCACACTTCCCGAAGCACTGTTCACTCTGTGCACAGAAGAACATTAATACAAATATATATACCTGCATCGAATTTTAATTGGTTTCCATTTTATATTAACTGCTGTAATGAGTCTTTCCTTCGCAGTTTCAGACATAGTTGAGCTAATATGAAACACTCCGGTAACGAATATTTACCATCGCTTTTTGGACCGTCGTTTAAGGTTTGAAATGCATCTTTTTAATATTTATGAGGGTATGCAACACAGTTCCGTTCAATTATATTCCATGATGCGCGTTAGCGATTATTAAAAATTTAACACTAATTTAATGTTTTAAACTTAACCCAAACTAATTATATATATAAACACTAATTCAAAGTTTGTATTCGTTAATGATTAGGCTCGTGTTTATTGCGGAGCGTGCATCTTTAACCTATCTACTCATCATTAGTGTTGCTTTCTCCTGTTCGATCACTTTGTGTTCCCTCAGGGGTTTAATGTATCCGACCCGACTAAAAACTACAATCAAAAAATATATTTAGGAACGACGCGACGAATAACTGTGGGTATTAATAGAAAATGTAACGAGTAAACCGACCGGTACGTTATCTTCACACGCGCTGGGGCGACTTTATGGCCTGCATTGTTTAACCAGTGTTGCAGGCGTTAGACTTTGTTGTAAAAACATAAAGGCTAGCTCGAAGTGACTACCGTAACAACGCTTTACATTGTAATCATGACACAATGGACGCCAGACTAAAGACCGAGTAAAGGACGTCGCTCCGCTTGCGTGGTTTTTAAATGAATTATATGCGAGCGGTTTGAAACATGCTGAATACAAATGAACATATTTTGTAACCACAATTTACGTACAGATTTTTCTTACCAGCGCGTATTCGTGTATAAGTGACATTTTATATTTTGTAATCATTTTTTTTAGGACAAAGGTGATTTGGTATATCAGTATATAACTTAATTTCGGTATGTTTGGCGCAGTAATTGTAATTCTAACTTCTGATTGGTTGAAGTTTGCTGGCGATGGAATGACAGTACAATGTTGTGTTTTGTGCAAAACCCTTTTTTAATTTAGAACAAAGCAGATTGGGAATATCAGTATGTAATTTGATTTTAGCTGTTTCCCCAATGGTAGACTTTTTCAAGTTATATCGTACAAGCATAGAAAAAGACAACACAGAAAGTAATGACGTCGTATACCGCAGTATTTGTAATTTTAACATCTGATTGGTTGAAGTTTATAGGCGATGAAAGTACAGCGCACTGTTGTGTTTTGTGCGAAACTCTTTTGTTTTTAACAGAAACCAAAAAGTGTTGTATATCTTTTAAAATTAAATTATAAAGATTAACCCTAATTGTTTTGGGGGTTATACGGTATATCCCGGGAAAAAACGGTGTGCACTCATAAAACAATCCTATCGACATTGGCTTTTACATATGCACATTTACACCTGAAATGGTAGTGATAATATTACAATATTTTCCCGTTACTTTGTATTGATGTGTTTATTACAGACTATTTTCTTTCGCGGATCAGTTTTGTGTGGACACTATTTCCGGTTTTGGACGGCATCTGGCGTGAGCAGACGTTCTTCTTTTGAGAAAAATACGTTCCCAAGTACTGGGAAATGGGAAAATACATTCTCAAATTCTTCTCAAGTCGTTCTCAACTTCTTCTCCTACTGACAACCAATGATAATGAATAGGTATATTCTATAGGTAGGTGGTATAAAGTAGTATATAGATGATAAATAACGTACATATAACCCCAAAAATAGTCCTGATTATTCCTGAGCTAAGGTGTGTCTGTATTGAAGTGATCATCGTGCTTGTAATGAGTAGGTACTGTAGATATAGAGAGTGGTCCTGCCTACCTGAGTATTTTAGAAAGTTAGTTGGTGGTTCTAAACATGTACATCCGATAACATCACAGTATGAACAACAATATACCCGTGTCCGTGATTCTGATACTACTTATCCATATACCGGTCACTGATGCCATAAAACGGTGTTGGCGCTGCAGACTTTTCTCACAGCTACGCGAAATGTATTTAAGCTCTGTTCAACACTTAATCAATATATGAATATAATCTACGACCAAATATTCTATTTTGTTGAAAAGCGCTGAACAGTGGTGGTCGTACCGGTCAGCAGGTCACTGGTCAAGGATATTGATGCCAAAACAATCCTTCTTTAGCAATTTAAACAGCATTCCAATATTATTTGATATCAATATTTAATGCATTTTAAAAGACCCACTAAAGTGACTCAATCGAGAAAGTATACCGTGTGTTCTGCTGTCACGTGTGGCTGAAATTCAAGGTCAAGGCTTAGGATCAAATGTCAAGGATAGGGATCAAAAGTGAAGGTTACGACTTTTATTGCCAGCCATGGTTTATTTATTTCCGTCGGGTTTATAAGAAAGTGGTTTAACATTAGATCAAAGAATCGTATGTCTATTTTTAACATATGATCAATACTTAATTACCAATAGTTTCAAATCTAAATCCTAAAAGAAGTAAATCGAGAAAGTATCTCTTCTTTTTACTTCACCGTTGTACTATTCTCAATCCTGACCTTTTATGAGTTCAAACCCATATGTTTTTTTTAAAGACGAGTCAATTCTTTCAATTAGGGCAAACACTGTTCAGACATCATAACTCTTCCGGGCGCGGAAGTATCACTAGCATTAAAACACACTAAATTTCCGGCCGTCATGCTGCCCCTGCCTCTCTCGACGAGATGAGTGGTTATAATTACATCTTGGTGGTTGCCTGCCGCTTGTCCTTTATAAAATTAAATTTGCCTTTAGCGTCTGCCTATTTCATTTTGAGTGTATAATGTTACAATTTCGTCTTGTTTTTTCTACATTTTATTGATGTATGCGCCTTTCTCAATATATAGTATTTGAACACGGACAATAAAGTTATTTTTACAAAAAGGAAAGTGAATTAGATAAAAGTAAATTAATAGGTGTAGACAAGAACCGTTTTGTTTACAAAAAATGATGCCGAAAGGGTATTAATCGATAGGGCTGTGAGAGGCCATGGGCTACAAACACATCATTTACAGGAACCGTGTGTGTTGTAGTGAGTACACACTGAATTGGGTACAAATAAGACGCGTCTGATGCTGTCTTTAAGGAAATGACTAAGGTACAAGCGAACTAAGTGCTCCCTCATACAAGTGGTTATTCTTTTCATGTTATATTGTAATAATATTCTCGTTACTTTTAAAGAATTGGTATAGAGTCGAGTCTCGTTACTATAGCGACCAATACCCACAGTGTCCTACTGNGGGGCAATATAAAAATGTGGGACGGCGGGGGAGGGGGGGGGCATATTTGCCTTTTGATATTAAACACCGTCCTTGAAACCCAGTTGTCTTACCTCCCAGCCACTTATGATTAGATCGAGGTTGTCTGAGTTATTCCAAAGCAGGCTTTTTTTTTATATATAAAACACCGTCCTTGAAATGCAGAGCTCTAACCTTCAAGCCACTTATGAACAGACAAAGGGGACTTAGTTATCCCAACCAGGCAAAACTCTCATTTTGGTATAAAACACCGTCCTTGTATAATCCAAAGGTCTTACAGTCCAGCCACTTATGAATAGAACGAAAATTATATCCCAGTGCAGGCAAGCCGTCCTTGTTATCCAGTTTTGCATTCAACCAATTTCTGATCAGCACGAATTTGTCTGAGTTATCATTTCTCTATCAAATGCATTGATACGTGTTCTATACGTTTTCACGGCTTTTCATTTTCTTATCATATGTCATCTCTCTTACCTTATTTTACACGAGTTTCTTTTATATTGTTAGTAATTGAGTTTGTTATTTTCTATTTAATTGATCTATATCATAACACTTTCACCGACCATTCCTCTTACAAAATCACCTTAAACAAAACAGCTTTGCTTTGTTTCTTTTTATTATTTTATTAATAGCATAAACTTATGTCAGTGTATGATATTTGGTGTCTTTATAGTTGGAAATTAAATACAGCCCCCCCCCCCCCCCCCCCCCCCCCCCCAACAACCCTAAAACGGGAGACACACCTGTGAAGGGTGGGAGGGAAAATATTCCCCTACCTGGAGGGTGTGAAAGAGAAATCTCCAACCAGAGGAATGATTTATTTGTTTTCAATCCCGAGGCTCTGTCAAGGGTTAGACAACAATATAATCACTCCGAAGGAAGGAGATTTCTGTGTCACACTCTCAAAGTAGGGGATGGTAATTTTTCTCCTATCATTGCAATATAATGTTTAATAACAACATATTTCCTAATTAGTAATACGTTTGTAATCCGGTTGATTTCCAGTTTCGCACGTGATTCTCCAATCAAAATCTGGTAATGATGTCATACATTATGTACATGATTGTTCCCTTGCCGTCAAACTGTAGTATTATTGCTATCTACTTGCAATCTCTCATACCCTTAGGGTTAACAAGGAAATCATAATCTAGAGGTCGACAGAGAAATCTTTAACTGGTAAAACGGGAGACAACTCAGTCAAACGTGGGAGAAAGACATCCATACCATGTCAGTATTAGATAAATGGATAACACTAATGACTGAAGAGCGAAAAATAATACCAAACCCATCCAAAGAAAAACAAGACCTTCCTCATTGTGTAGTTTATGACTAACACAGCATCTGTGGTTGCAAGAATGGTATTCCGTCCCTTAAACATCACTTCAAGTTAGGTGTGCCTTTATCTAGGGATACGATATTCGGAAATAGCTTACTGTATTTACTGTATTTGTTTTGTTATTTGTATTTATCAGTGACAAGAAGAATAGGACATCCATACCAAAACAGAACACCTCCAAAACGGAAAAAGCCGCGGACATCATTCACTCGCCTACAAATCATGGAACTAGAAAAACGTTTCCACAGACAGAAATACCTAGCTTCAGCTGAGCGCTCAGCTTTGGCCAAAGCACTAAAAATGACTGATGCACAGGTGAAAACATGGTTCCAAAATCGTCGAACAAAATGGAGGTAAGCGATCGTTGATTTGGTATAGTTCTGTGGTTATTAATATATGCATCGCTTCGAAATGCATCAGTTACGAATGGCACCAATAGACACTTTTGAAAAAGAGCTTTATCTAGTGTCTCATATCAACTGCGTATACTCCGCAGACTCACAGATCTGTTTTATACATTAAAAGTTTGAACAAAGTAATGACTATTTTTCCTGTGTCTATATGAAATATGTTTCATATTTCAGATATGAAGAAACAATATTCTGGTATCTAAATAGAGCAATAACACTACTCAGGTATCTAAATAGGACAGTAACACTACTCAGGTATCTAAATAGGACGGTAAAACTATTCTGGTATCTAAATAGGACGGTAACACTATTCTGGTGGCTATACAGGGCATTGATGCTGTTGTGGTGGCTATACAGGGCAGTAATGCTGTTGTGGTGGCTATACAGGGCAGTATTGCTATTCTGGTGGCTATACAGGGCATTGATGCTGTTGTGGTGGCTATACAGGGCAGTATTGCTATTCTGGTGGCTATACAGGGCATTGATGCTGTTGTGGTGGCTATACAGGGCAGTATTGCTATTCTGGTGGCTATACAGGGCATTGATGCTGTTGTGGTGGCTATACAGGGCAGTATTGCTATTCTGGTGGCTATACAGGGCATTGATGCTGTTGTGGTGGCTATACAGGGCAGTATTGCTATTCTGGTGGCTAGACAGGGCATTGATGCTGTTGTGGTGGCTATACAGAGCAGTAATGCTGTTCTGATGGCGTTAAAAAGCTGTAATGCTGTTCTTGTGGCTAGATAGATGGCAGTGATGCTGTTCTGGTGGCTATACAGGGCAGTGATGCTGTTCTGGTGGCTACACAGGGCAGTATTGCTATTCTGGTGACTAGACAGGGCATTGATGCTGTTCTGGTGGCTATACAGAGCAGTAATGCTGTTCTGATGGCGTTAAAAAGCTGTAATGCTGTTCTTGTGGCTAGATAGATGGCAGTGATGCTGTTCTGGTGGCTATACAGGGCAGTGATGCTGTTGTGGTGGCTATACAGGGCAGAGATGCTGTTCTGGTGGCTATACAGGGTAGTATTGCTATTCTGGTGGCTAGATAGATGGCAGTGATGCTGTTCTGGTCGCTATACAGGGCAGTGATGCTGTTGTGGTGGCTATACAGGGCAGTGATGCTGTTCTGGTGGCTATACAGGGCAGTGAGGCTGTTCTGGTGTCTATACAGGGCAGTGGTGCTGTTCTGGTGTCTATACAGGGCAGTGGTGCTGTTCTGGTGGCTAGATAGGGTAGGGAATCTGTTCTAGTGGCTATACAGGGCAGGTATGCTGTTCTGGTGGCTAAACAGGGCAATAATGCTATTCTAGTTGGTAGATAGGACAGGCCGTAACATTATCATAAAAACTAGTATAGGGAAAAATAAGATTATTGTGTTAGTGTATAGAAAATTTCATGTATACTACCTTTGAAGCCTTATTTAGGAAAGTGACATTTCACTGGATGCCACACAGGACAGCAGTATTAACTAAACATATATTGACAATATGATACAATAGCACTATTCGAACTGGTTAAATGACTTATTCATGTCTATACATTTTCAATTAACCGGTATTCTATATTCAACAATAGCTTCATAAAAATAATCAACACATCAGTCGACATTGCTTATTGAAATCGGATAACTGTGAATTAGTTTCTATTGCATTATGTGTGTGGTTCGAGGCGCATACAACGTTTAGCAGTTCATCTTTCTGGTCGTTAAACAAAGCAAAAATATCATCTTTACCACTTTTTTACACAATGGGAGAAGTAACAGAAGTGGATTGTGCAATAAAAAAATTGATAATTTTAAGGTCGACATTCTATTGTGATGCTATTCAAAATATGAGAAGGGCATAGTTTAGCTCCGTACTTAACCCCCTCTGAGGTATGATCTTAAGCGAAAAACCGACTCGTTTCTTATCTCCGGATATCCTTGGTGTCTTTACAACCCCGCTGTGAATACCGGGTCCGTTTTCTTTCTTGCAATGTCTTCGACGGATGGATGATATTTAACTGCACGCGCCGGCTCATCTATTTTTAAGTGGGAGCGGTCTTTGTATTGTTTCGTGTTAGTCAAGCATCCAAACCCCCTACTGTGACGACATATTGGTTCACTGTCTGACAGAGTTTAATTACCGTCAGTAATTCACATTTACAAGCCATTCTATCATGTGTCAATAACGTTGTGGAAATTGGTAGTTATAAAATTGAACTATTTGAATACTTGTCACTGAAACTACACTAAATTTTGGCTAATTTGATAATTAACCATTCTAATCATTCTCATGTTGTGTCAGAATACTCAGGGAAAATGTTTAATTAATATCAAAAGGAAAATAATACGTTTAATAATGGCATCATACACTATCTCAATTACAGTAGCTAATACGCGTGAAATGCAGGCTTAACTAAGCGCGCTAGCAAACTAAGGGGAAAGGGGGTTCAACCAAATTAAATATGTGACGTCATCTGAACCTGTGATCTATATAAAACGTTTTAATATATATATAAGGTTATAATTAATATGTAAAGCATATCTTCGTACTGATGAGCTGTAAAGCTCAGAGTAACAAAGAACTTGAACTTGATCATAATTTAAGGTATGTAAGAATTAGTATAGACAAAATAAGATCTAACGACCGAATTAAAAAACTAGCTGCTTTCACCCTTCACAGGCCAGATTTATATAAAAACAAACACTTCGTGACATCACAATTACATGTCATCACATTACAATAGTAACGTGACATTATGAAGTACACAAGATTGGTAGATTGGCACATTCATGAATATGTTTGTTAACATGTAGATTTCGTAAAGAATCAGTTCTAGTTTGTTGTCTATATATATTCGTGCTGTATTACGACGAGATCATTGTAACCAACTGAAAATGTTGGTATGACTCAATATAAGCAACCGTGTTTAGTAATATCACCAGTACTAATTCTACCGTTATATGACCTTTGACCTCACTATGTAAACATCAGCCCCTTCCCCCTCCACCCAAGCAAAACTAAATTATATCACTGTCCTGCTACCAAAAAATCAATCAATCAATCAATGTTTTATTATAGTGTCACGCATCATTAAATTCACAAACAATCATCATAAAATATCATATACAAAATAGCATTCGTCATAACGCGCGTCATGGAATATGTTCGAATGCAATTGTGTTGCATACCCTCATAGATATTAAAAGACTATATACATACCAGAACAATATATTATACATAGAAATGAATGTCACGTATCAACTTTAAGTAAAAGGACTCGATAGGGACACAATAACAAAATAAACACCACAAAACAAATCTTCAACATTTGATCGATTTCCGTCACGACAGCTGCTATTTGGCAGATAAAAAAAATGCAAATAAAATGTGCATCTGTGATTTATATCTTAAATGAATTGTTTGTGTCTGCAGTGTTTATCCGAACTTAATAGACGTGTAAGTGAAATGTTTCTTGAGTATGCATGTGTATAAAAACGTTGCAGTGTTTAAAGAATGTGGTAAACGATTTGCTGGAGGACATTACTTCAATATTGACAAATAGATAGCTCGCCTATATTAACTGATGTTCGGACATAAAAGGTGGCATTCCAGCCCATCTTTGTTAGTTTACCTAATTGTCAAAACAAATAAACTACTCTCAGATGTACATGTTCCTATTTAGATTATATATATCAGAAGTAACGTTACGTAGCAAGAATTATAGGCTTATCTTTTTTCACCAATGCGGATATTTTAGCATTCAAACACAATATTTTTAGTCCTTCATAGCGATCTTAGAAAAAAACATGTTTTTTCTAAATAGATATATATATCATATATGGGCAAAGAAGTAATAACGACAGTACAGACAAAGAAATGTGTCAAACTTTCAGGGCAATCTGCCCCTTTATCAAGACAGGAACATGAAAAATTACATATCACAACATAAAACAGAGAAAAACAGTCACCATGAAACAATGATATAATACAAAATACATAAACAAACAGAAGTTACTTATATAAAATATGCTGTTGTAAGTGAATATAATAATAATAATGATAATACTAGTCTTTATTTAAACTTGATTACATATTGAGTCAAAGACCCGTCTCCCATATGGTCAAGCATATTAAGAAATGTACATTATATACAACATATCCCCTCAGTTAGCTTGTAACCGAAGGCTAATCACGTATACATGTATATATCAAATATATATGATTACTGATTTGTTAAGGGTGTTTAGGTAGGGCAGTGTGTAGCGAACGCGCCTTCCACAAATTAAAGACAGCTGGGATTCGATTTCCTGATCCTGTCACATCATGTGCATTTTCTTTGGATAATCCGATTTTTACCGCCTTAAGATCCCCGCGCTTACATCCGGGCCCACAAGAGGGATTGACATAAGTTGATAACAACTTGGCTGATATGTGTTAATATTTTCGACTATAGTACAATATAACATCGCAAGAAAACTTCCCGTTAAAAATTGTCACTTATTTTGAATTGAATATTTCAGATCAATTGTGATATCATCATCACCGAGTAATCTAGTCAGTATTTACGTTATGAAACTAAGGTTCGCAAACGTGTTTAAAACTGTAAACTTTCGATATGCGTAGGAAGATACGAAAATGTTAACATAAACAAATAAAAATGCAATTTATTGGCAACGGAAATTGTATAAATATATCCTTACATCTCCCTATGTATGTATGCCTGCGTGTGTCCTGGAGATATATTGTGTAAACAGACTACTGTTCATAGATAGGAGACGGAATCGAGGGTAGACGTATTGTTTATATATCTGATCAGAGGCTTGTGAACTTCTGTACCAATAATAATAATAATAATATTCTTTTAAGAAAAAGGGTAAAGGCATCGATTTTACATTACATAATACAATCTTTACAATTGTTACAATAAAGTACACAAACATCATATATAAGACATGAAAAACATAATTGGATGTCAAAAAATATCATCGGGACAGCCCCTTCAGGAAATCTCTCCTGCTACTAGTATTACACGAATCCTTAAAATATTTTATGTTATTAAAAGAAACATGACATTTTACCTGAAATGATGACAGTTCTGAAGTAAGAAAATAGAACAAGATATCATAATATACATACATGTAAGATGAAATATCGGAAGGTTTCCAAAAAAGTTAAAATGCACATACTGTATATTTCTAAAGACATTGTAACGCTTTACTTCTGTATATACCTGTATCTATGTCTATGACGTTACTCATGATTTACACGTTCATAGTTTCCCCTTGCTCATACGTCACCGATATACATAGCATGCGGGCCAAGCGCTAGTAGATCTCAAAATGTCGAACAATGCGAACATTTCATCAATAACAACATGCAAGTCATGCGTAGGTTATGCATGCAATGTCCTTAGTAAGTATTTTTTTCTTTTTTTTTTCTTTTTTCGGTCATATAAATTTGATTAAATTGGATTATAGACTATGACGAGCATTTACAATGCTAATCTGCATGATTGAAACACAAGACGTCAAAGACAGAGAGTTTTGATGATGGTACTTTTAATGTCGCCAAGTACAGTAGCCACTGGGGTCCTGACAATTCAATGTGCAGCGAGTTAAGTTATACTAAACTTGAGATATAAAGATAAGAAAGGAGATGAACACCCACTCGTGACCATGGAACGAATCGTTCATGACACTCAGAGGTGGATTTCCAGTCCTTCCAGCTGCCCGCGTTAGGCTTTACCTAAGATATATACATGGGCGATATTAGGAACATTCCCTTTTCAGTGAAAATGTGTGTTTTCAGTTGGAATGTGCCATTGTTTTAAGGGGGTGAAACTAGAAGATACGTACTAAGCCTAAATTTAATGCTCTTCATTGATTAACACTACTTATTAACGGGGTATAACAACGTAACATGTCGGTGGTCAGGAGGATAGTGGTACGCATGGTTTCACTTTTCGATAATTTAGAGTTTTCTTTTCATCAATTTCCGGTTAAAGTTACCGCTGTCGTTAAATGGATGGAACCTTAATGAATGTAGTTTCCCAAATGTAAAATTATTTTCAGTTTGTATGTTTAGTACTTGTCGTTGTCCATATCAATTGAATGGTAAAACTTCGCCTTTGTTATACTGTAAAGGTGGTAATTGTGGCGGTGTGAACATTTATTTTGCGTATTTCGCATTTGGCGCGAAAATAACCACACGCGAATATTTACCTACAAATTATATAGATAATAGAATAATATAAAAAAACATTTCTTTAACGCGAAATTCTCCACACCGCGATCAATTTAAAGAGTAAAACAGCGAACATTTCCATTTTCAATCTCTATTGTGACGTCATCAATCTCTACTGTAACGTCATCAATCGCTATTGTGACGTCATCAATCTCTATTGTAACGTCATCAATCTCGTTGTTGCGAAGACTTAATTTGCTGTTCAAATAACTGTTCGAAAAAATTTAGTAAATGAAGCGTAACTACTCTATCAAAATGTGAATATAAATAAAGAATATTTTAGCAAATATTGTTATGGTCCTATAACACACATTTCTATTGCTGACCAACTTACATAAAGCTCTGCCGGGCTTTATTAAGTTTGTCATCAATAGCAATGTGTGTTATAGGATCATAACAACATTTGCTAAAACAGTCATTGTTTAAAAACATCAATGTCCGTCGTATGGTGTTCACTGTTTACCTAGAATAAAGCATAGTATATTATCATTGGTGTGTCAAAAAAATAATATATCATGTCAATCAACGTAGACTCCCGTTCCAGCCTCTTTACACTTGAAACAACATGCGTCCAACGGTTCAATTACCACTTGTTTGACAACAATTCCTGCCCCACATTGTCTCTCTATCACACCATAGAAATCATAAAGCATACAGAAAAAAACATTACGTATGAGACAGATAGATCAAAGCCAACATGATAATCAATATTTATTTTCAGTCTAACTTTTATTTTTATGGGGGTAGGATTAGAAAGAACAAAATATTGGTGCTAATCTATAAGTTTCACACGTTGAAGTTGGGGGAAGGGGGGAAG